ATATACTTTAAATCCTATTAAATCCTATTAAAATTAGAAAAACTTTGAAACGCTATAACTCGGAAGATAATTACTTCCGGTGAACGAATCAAAGACCATTAGAAGCGCGGATCCTTCCCCTTTAAAATGCTTTTTTATTTATCTCGATACGACTGCCGGTTGCCCAGATATCGTCGTGTAAAGGAAAAGGTAATTTTTAATCGTTTACTATCTCCGTCCTTTTCGGTTATTCGGAGCTCTCGCTCGCACCTCGCCTCACTGACCTATCCCAAATTCCAGACAAGCGGCAGACGCGATTCCTAGAAAAACGTAGTACGCGTTTCCAGGAAAAAATGTAGGTCACTAGGTCACGAGCCCATTCATAATTTTCGCCCTATATTAAAGGCTATGGAAACTTTGAACCCGTATATCTCGGCAACGGATCGAGATATCGGGATAATCCAAAAAGCGATTTTAATGGTATGATTTTCTTTACTTTTTGAGTGGATTTTGATTGAAAATTTTTAATTTCTTTTTGCATTATTTTTTTTATGAAAAGTTGATTTTAAATAAATACAATGACTTGTTGTTGCGATATGAAGTATATAGAAATTTAATTTAACTGTTATATATTTTTTGTATATTTTTAATATTTGAATATATTTTATAGTTACATAAAAATTCTAACTAATCTTATAATAAAAGTTAAATTTTGAAAATTTTATATCGTCCCGATTTTCTTCGTAATCACGATATTATAATGATCTATCATTGAATCGATAATAAAATAGATAAATTCGGGAATTCCTGGCTAACTTTTGTAAAACGGATCGGTGTTTAAGGAATTGAGAGAAATTCCATTTAAATAATAAATAAACAAGCAACGAATGTAATTTCATTTCTACCCGAATAATGGCCCGAAACCACGTTTCCGCGCCGCGAAGACAATGATAGAACAAATGATAGAACGAGATTTGGCAACGAAACGCCTAAAGTTTGCCTAACATTTCCAGCTTGGCGCCGCGGAAAATCGGTCGAACAAATAATAACAGTCTAAAGAAACTATATACTTCCTCCACATAGCGAGTCGCCACCTATTTATTTCTCGCATGCACGATCGGCTCTTGTGGAACCATTAAGCCTCGAAACAAATATAACGGTCGATTCAGAAGCGGCCAGCGACTGATCGAAGGAAGGGAGAAGAAAGGGGAGGGTATATATTCCACGTTACCGTGGAATTATTTAGCATTTATGTCGGCCAGATTTATGCAACCGGTAGAGCGCGGCCGGGGCAAACGTTTCACGAACGCTTTTATTGCGGCTACACCAAATTCATTACTACGCCTCGTTTACCCGGTATTCGTCTGCTCGTTATAATTGCTCCATTGTGTCCGGGCCGGAGAGACTTGTGCCGCACGAGAAAAACGAAGGTACAGCGAGGGAGAAAAAGAGAGGAAGAGAGAGGCGAGGAGCACCTTTGAAACCAGTCGACCACGCCATTGTGTGCCCCGGACTTTTCGCATAAAACGGTCTTTACGGTCTAAACCGAAACCAATGACGCAACCAATCCTCGGCTGGAGCCGCGAGAAGAACCCAGAATCGAGATCGTAAACGCGTGTAATACGAGGAACGGCGTCGCCTTACCTATGGTGTGTCCTTTTCGAAAAAATAAAAAAAATGTTTTGGTCGAAGAGAATTGAAGAGGGAAATTGAAAGAATATGAAGATCCAAGAAATGGCATGAAAGGTAAAAAAAAAAATCAATGATGAATACATTGTAAATTTTGTATAAACGTACAAATATTTATTCAGTTTAATGATGAGTATCTATTCGATTTAAGAAATGGTTTATGGAAATTTTTCTACAAATTTTACCTTTTAGAATTTTATTAGAACAACGAGGAAAATATGGAAAGGATTTCTTATTAGAAATATTAGAAAAAAAAAAATCGTATGTAAGAATTTCTATGCAAAACTTAACGAGTATTATAAAGTAAATGTGATTATTGACCTACGTTCGATCAAGAACGGGACTTTTCTACTTGGCCACATAAGATTTCAGACTTTACAGTTGTATCTTCGAATCGTAAGACCTTTTGATGGTAATAAGATTACAATCAATACAAAAAAAAAGGATAACAAGCAAATATAAAATATTACGTATGTTACAGATTTTCATCCGCTTAATACAATTTTATCTGCGCAAATAAACTTTGTTACTCGATTACAAAAACATGCAAATGGTGAACCCACTGTATAGCGAATCACAATTTACACAAATTTTTATTCCATATTATTTTTCTCCCCCCGTTTGAAATTTTTATTCAATATCTATTGATAAAATTCTCTTATCTGGGCATGAAAATATGCAAACAGTGAATCGATGGAACAAACGATCATTACACAAATTTTCATTCATCCAGTATCTGATCCGATATTGGACGATCACGAAAATATGCAAATAGGGAATCGATACAACGACGTTTACACAAATTTTCATTCACACCAATCCGTATCTGATCCAACGTAAAACCCCACGATATAAATTCCTTGGTTCGACGACAAAGATATGCAAATAGTGAACTGATACAACACGCACCATTACACGAAATTTTATTCACAACAACCTGTATCTGATAATGCAAATTTAAATCGTAGAGCGTGAAAAGACAATTTTTAACAACCTTCCTTTTCGAAGAATCGATCTTGAAATTTCTTTCGCGCGAAAGATACATAAGAATCGATTCGAATTTTCTTCCCACGTTATAATAATTCAAGAGCCAGAGAAGAGTAACAGACATGATAATACGTTAAAATTGCTCTAATATTCTTTATACCTTCACTTTTTCATTCGACGCCACAATTTTTTTTTTTTTTTTTTTTT